TAGAAATTAATCATTTGTTTGAGCGATAAGCAGGAAAGATTAGAGTAATAGGGAGATAATAGACTGTATCATTAAACACTGTGTAATATAACGTTAGCATACGTTACGTGTGCTGACGTTAGCAAGCTAGCAGCGTGACATTTAATCATTATGGACAGGCTACGTGACTAAAAACAACAACACGTGTTTGTGTTTTGTTTTAGGTATTCAAGAATATTTTATTGATCGCCTGGCCTCTGATGACCAGAAAAACGGCAATTACAGGTCTCTGATTGAGGGTCAAAATTACCTGAGCTCCAGATGGGTCGGGCAAATTTTACACCGGCTTTTAGACGACCATCACATCATACTGAAGGCGATCAATATTGATCGCCTTCAATATGATGTGATGGTCACGTAGCCTGTCCATAATGATTAAATGTCACGCTGCTAGCTTGCTAACATCAGCACACGTAATGTATGCTAACATTATATTACATAGTGTTTAATGATACAGTCTGTTATCTCCCTATTACTCTAATCTTTCCTGCTTATCGCTCAAACAAATGATTCATTTCTATAATAATATCGGTACTCATTTAAGATACCTTCATCAGTTACCAGAGGCCACTGTCTAACATCATCAATCCAGCTATTCATGATGCTGTCACTGTAGGGAGTCAGTTCACAATGACATCATAATGAATTGATGACTGACACATGTCACCGCAGCAATGGCGCCGCCGCAAGATGGCGGCATACACAAGTGGCTCGCAGAATTCGTCTATAAAAAAGGTCAAGCCTCACAATGGAGGTCCGGTATCATAATTTACACGTTTTTAATCACAAAATGTAATATTTAATTAGTATGGCGGAGTTATCACGGTTGATTTACTGTAGCCTAGGCTATGAGGTTCTTGGGAGAGAAAAAAAAAAAACCTCTGCACTTAACGGCTGGATTGAAAACTTTCTCGAAAAGATTGTCCTGAGCCCACCATAGATCGCCAAAAGAGTAAGCTTCTGATCACAATTATCCCCATTAAGTTCCTTTGTGTGGTGTAGTGTGGGCTGCGGGGGAGAGCAGGGTCTCCACAGATATCTGGGGTGTGTCTGCATTGCATTAGCGATTTCTCACATCTTTGAACAGCTAGTGTTTGAGTACCAATTTTGCAAAAGTGGAGCCAACACTAATTTGAGTCTTATCTAGGGCCTCTGTTCGGGAGCTCCAAAAAGTGGCAAATCAAGGCTTAAATCATGTAGTGTTAACTAGGCATGACACAACATGTTTCAAGATCTTCCTCGAAGCTGAGGATGACAACGTTGAAATTCTGAGGATGCTTTCAGATAATTTTAGTGTAACGGAGGAAAAACAGAAACGCTTGACTCGGTTTGTGTGTGCTTTCTATTACTCAGAAGGAATCACTGTAAAAAACATTCCAGAGCTGAGATGGCACATTTTGACCAGTATAAGGCAGAGAGTAACAAGCTACCACCTACAGAGGATGCCCTGAAACAGCATATTGATAGGGGAGCTACATGTGCAAGCTCAAGTTTGGGGCCAGACCAGTGTCCTGCAGCGAATAACATTGAATCCTCTGCAAAATGTGAACATGAATGATAAGGTTCAGTTGAGACTACTACCACTGATGTACTACCAGCTTCTCAGGCCATCATTGAAATGGTGAGATGCCCCTGCAAAGGATATTGTTCAACACAAAGATGCTCCTGTAGGTCAACAGACTTACCATGCACTGATCTTTTACAATCACTAAAACTAGAATTACAGGCTGTGGTTGTATGACTCTGCCTACAAGTCAAGTTTCTCTGACAGTCTCCATCCATGTCAGTGAAAACATGGATGCTTCACACACAGAAGATCTATACAATCAGCACAGTTTCAAG